TCACTTCGCAAACCTTCTTTTCACTTCGGCATAACCTCTCGGTTATCCCATTCTTTGTAATCGCTACGCTTTCTTAATATTAATAAAAGATTTTATTCTCTGAAATCCACAACTGTTAATCAAACCCTAGTGATAATTTTCTGGTTCATTATCAGCTCATATCTCATAGAGATCATTTGGCAAGTTTTGTTGGAGGATCGACATGTTTATATAGGCACACATATCATGAGAAAGCACAAGGCTGTAATAACGGATAGAAATATATATTTGAGCATTGATAACTTCTACTTAATCTTAGGAGCAGCTATAAATATCTGAATTTTTTGTTCTTCTTTCTTCTAGGTGGAGAGATTTCAATAGGATCATATTTTGAATAGCCATAATTAGAGTTAAATTAGTTCTAATGCATATATTACTCTATCTAATAGTGTAAGTTCAAGAAATGTGTTGCGATCTTCCATGTATATATGCAAATTTAGGAGTGTATATCTCTAAGTTAGTTCGAGTGGGTTCATGTACAGCACTCAAACCAAGAATGTTGGAAACCCAATTGACCAAAACACTAAACTGATTTGTGTATTGTGTGTGAGTGCAGAACATACAAGGATTAATGTGAGAAAGGGAAACCAAAAAACTAACAATGAACATTGTATAGAAATGTTTTAGAATATCTAGCATTTCTGTTTAATTTGGATTTTTTTTTGGTTTTCTGTGTTTAGTTAGTTTATCGATAAGATTTGGAATACAGTTAGAAAATTTATGCACATGTTTTATTAAATTTTATTATCATTTGTTTGGCTTATTTGCAATTGTTGGATAAAACAAACTGAGGTCTATGACTGTACAAAATCAATGTCTATTACAACAGCTTTAATCCGCACATCTTCTTTACAATAAATCTCGCATACTCCAAACGTTATGAACTTTCTTCTGATAACATGTTTTAAGTATAATTTAGCTGTTTACGTTTATTAATTTCTTTGAGACAGTAAAACTTACAGTTAATTTATTAGTAGATGTTTTGGCCCGCGTAAAACGCGGACAGCACACCTAATTCCATTATAAATCGAATTTGAGTTATCACAGTTTAGTTATAGATTAAGATCACAAAATATTAAGTAAATTACAATATCTTGTATGTTTGGACTATCATAAAAATTATTAGATTAATTAAATAATCAATGTTTTCTATTTCACAGGTACTAGGTTACTACCCGTGCTATAGCACGGGACTAAAATATTTATCAGAATAATTCTTTTAATTAATTTTATTATATATATAATATTTTAGTGGATTAAAAATATAAAATGACTTAAAATAAAAACCTAATTCTGAAATTTTGGGGGTGATATCCCATTTTTCCGTATGGGTCTTAAATTTTTTTAACATTCCTTATTCTGTTCAAAAACAATTATTCATTTGAAATCATTTATTTTATTAAAACAGGTAGGAGAAAAGCATGGAAAGGAAATATGTATGAAATCAGATATATGGATTACCTATTATATTTTCTCAATTTATCTGAAATTAGCTGAATAATATCCCAAGTTTTCTCAAAATTAGCTGAATAATATGTTTCGAAGTTAGAATTTATCCAAATTATTTAGAGTTTGCAAAAAGATTTCAGGTAAGAGATTTTATTGAAATTGTCTCATTGTTAAAATTTATCGTCATGTTCTTATAATGTTTTTCAATTCCAAAAAAAATTAGAGTTATCAAAACCTATGCTATACTAAAATCAAAACTTATATTTAAAAAAAAAACATTTTTTAAAAAAATCAATGCATGTGCATATTTTAATTATTTATTTCTTAAATAAAAATTAAAATCAGAATATTTTGGTCCCATGATAACGATGTGTACATACATATTTCAATGCAAATAATTATTTTTTTAATTGAGTTTAAGTAGATCGATATATGCTTATAAAATTTGTAATGTTTTTGTTAACAACGGTATTGTATTTTATGAAATATATTTTTTACTAATCATATTATTTTCTAGTTATTAATAGTTTTATTAATGATGTTAATACATAATGTATATTTCTCAAATAAAAATAGTTTATTTTAATTTTTATTGAAGCACCATTAATTTTAATAGTAGCTCATACTATTATTAATCTATGTTGTTGATTATATGATGAATTTTAATGTATTACATGTTTTTTATATTATTTTATGTATGTTGGTTTTTTTTGTTTACCTAAATATAAAAAAATTAACTTGACATGCATGGGAGTACCCAAAATTTTGTAATTTTTGGTTAAAAACGTGAATAAAAAATTTTGCCTTACAATTACATGTGGAAAACATGATTCTAAACCTCCCACCCTTCTACTAAAGATGAAATTAAACAAATATATGAAGAAAAAAATTAAAATATTTAAAGAAAATCTTCAAAATAGTAATTACTACATTTTTTAATTTAGTTTCTGATTGGGTGAAAATATTATTTTGTAAGTAAGAATGATTTAATTAGTTATATTCGTCTAAAATTTTAAAATTCCACCCACTAATACTTTTTTTTATATTAGCCAGGGTATCCAAAGATTTATTTGTTTAGTTATTAAATACTTCATATCTTCTTGATGTTAGTTAGAATATATTTTTCATTTATAGCAAAAGATGTAAATAATTATAATATTCTATATATTTTTACATCTTAACTCTTATCCTAGTAAGTACTAATCATAACTAACAAAAGTTTGAATACATATGATTTAAGGTAGTAGTGTTTTACGGATTTAGATTGATAATGTGATAACTTAGAAAAATACAAAAAGCTATGTTCCAATTTGTTCTTTTGGTTTAGATTGTTAGAGAAAAGAAAAACTGATTTTTTAGTTTCGATTTACTAATATTTTTTAGGTTCAAATTGAAGTGAAATCAAATTACATATGTCGCATGATTCTTTGACCTAAAAAATATCCAAATATATTTTTTATATTCAAATTTACTTTGTAATTATACAAACAAAATTTTGAAGTAATAACACAAAAATAAAGAAGTTTATACAAATGTAAGAGTGAAAGACTTCAAAGTCTGATACTTCTGAAATCCAACAAAGCATTCTCAACACAACAGACTTTAATGTTTGATACTTTTGATGAATTTAAGAGACTTTTATAAAAACTGTAATTTAAATAGAAATATCATTATCAAATGAATTATCGATTCCATCAGCGAATCTTTGACCAATATATTGAGACTCACAAACTTATTAACCACGAAGGAGTTCACAGAAATGACTTGAAGTGAAGCCATGTGATTCTAAGCGGAATATTCAACGTGATTTTATATGACTTCTTTGGCACTTCGAGTCTTTGCCATTTGTATGGCTTTTTTCATTGTCCATTGTCCATAGTGACCATAATTTCAGGACAATCGAGAGAACATCCCTACAAATTTGGGAAAAGTGTTTATGTGTTGTTAGACTCTTTCTAATACACCAAACCTTTTTGTCTCAGATTAAAAGAAATCGAAACAAAAAAATCCATAATGGCTAATTTAAGTTCATTTAAAACAATATTTATTAAAAATTATACACGTCGAATATAATAACTGAATATAAGACCTGAGTTTTTGTGAGTGAATGAGTCTCAAATGCTCAAACTTTAGCTCTCTTCTTCTGGAGCACCTTCATACTATACAAAACATAAGCAAAATAAGAAACAATATTTTTTTTTTCAACAAAACAAAAAAACTTTGAAATTAACAATAATGCAATCATAAAACACATCAAGAAAACATACAACTGAATGAGATTATACGCTTGAAAAAGAAAGTATCATATAGGTACAAAGATTTGAGATTATAAGTTTTCAAAGTAAACAGGTTAGTTAATATCAAAATGTGATTATTAAACATTCAATATAAAATATGCAAAAGATATATGATACGATTTAGTAATATAAATCTATATCTAACCTTTGAATCATAGAGAATAAATAACTTTATTGTTTCTCTACCTTTCGGTTACATCCACATTCTACACGTAAAGGAATAATAATGTTACATTACTGAAATAAGAAATAATAAGTAATAATACATGATTCTTAAGTATGTAGATGAATTTTTTGTGAAATCTATAAAATTATGAAAAAGATCATTAAGTGATGATTGTGAGATCAATGCTCTCTATAATATAGACCACTAAAGAATTAGGGTAACTGATTTGGTTTGTGAGCGGCTTTTTTGTTAAGATTTGGAACAAAGATTTCAAAATATTGTGTCTTGTAATGCAAGAGAGATCTGATTTGTTTGTAGTTGAGATTTGGATATTTACTTGCTGAAACTGTTTCTATTATGATATATAATTTATACAATACTTTAGAAATCGTTCCTACAATTTAGGATACATCACGAAAGAGTAAATATTTGAAATGATTCGGTACTGATATTTTATTGAATTTTGCCTTGGATTTACGATTTTGTTAAGATTTATAAAGTTATTATAGAATATAATTTTGATAGAATATCCAAGATTTACGATCGTAATATTCATTTTCTTCAATTTGTTTATAACAGGTGAAGAAGATGGATGGCATAATAAATCCGAGATTTACTAAATATTGGCACGTTGAGATCCAATTATAAAGTTCCGCTACTTTAATATATTCAGAATGATCAAACCAATCAAAGTTATTAAACCGAGCAGAATTTTAGATCATTTGGAACTGATTTGATATAAGTGATTCAGATCCGCGAGTTTTGTTTTGGAATCGGGTCGGATCATGTTAAGCTAAGTGAGTTATTATTTGAGTAATTCGTTTTCTTTTTTACGGTTTTAACAAATGATTATCTAGAGAAAATTTGAAAAATAGAAAATAATTAAAATCTTAAAAAAATGAGGTAATGACACATCAGCCTGGAATGCTTCCTGTTTAATAATAGTTAGATGCTAAATCTGGATTGAATTTCTGATACAATCATACTGACGATGACACAAGCCGAGCAGATGATGACGACGGCTTAGAACCACCTCGACCTGATCCATACCCTAACATACATATCAAGCGAATACGATAAAACTCCACCAGCAGCCAAAACCCGAACCCAATCGAGCCGGAAACTAACCTTAAGCTACCGGAAACGATCAAAATCGGTAAAGTGATAACCTTCCAAGGTTTAGAGGCGACGTCGTCGGCTTTACACGAAGATTATGATTTCAAGGATTTAAAAGCCACCGTGAGATGCGAAGACCCAAACGCGGATCTCTATACGTTCGTCGGCACTTTACATTTGGAAGAACAGAGATTTCCATTGTCGATTCAACAGCTTCTTCTTCGAGATTCCAAGCTTAGAAACACAGAGTATGTTTACGGAGCTGTTGTCTTCACTGGACACGACACAAAGGTGCAAACTTTAACATCTGTTTCTCACTTTTAATAATAAATGATCTCAAAAGTGTTGAATTCATTTTGACAAAATTTGAAACAGGTGATTCGAAATTCAACCGATCATCCGTCGAAGAGAAGTAGAATCGAGAGAAAAATGGACAAAATCATCTACATGACGTTCGGTGTTGTGTTTTGATGTTGTTCATTGGCTCCATCGTCTTCAGTATCGAGACAGGAGAGGATATAGAGAGAAACAGACGATGGTACTTAAAACCAGAAGATGCAGAGATCTTCTTTGATCCAGAAAGAGCTCCAATGGCTGCCATTTACCATGTCTTCACAGCGGTCATGCTCTACAGTTACTTCATCCCTATCTTGCTTTACGTCTCTATCGAAATCGTGAAAGTTCTTCAGAGTATTTTCATCAACAACGACATTATATGTACTACGAGGAAACAGATAAACCCGCGCACGCAAGAATGTCTAATCTCAACAAAGAGCTCGGGATGGTCGACACGATTCTATCCAATAAAACCGGAACCTTGACCTGCAACTCCATGAAGTTTATTAAGTGTTCTATCGCGGGGACTGCTTATGGACGCGGTATAACCGAAAGCTGAAAGATCTATGGCTATGAGATGCGGCGGTTCGGCTTTGGTTGATGATGATTTGGATGTTGTGGTTGACCGGTCTGGTCCTAAGGTCAAAGGGTTTAACTTCGAGGACGAGAGAGTTATGAAAGGGATTGGGTTAAGCAGCGAGAAGCAGCTGTTTTTCTTCATCGCTTATTGACTCTTTCTTTATATATAGAGACAACATAATCCTAAAGGTGTATCTAAGCTCCTCAACATAATCCTAAAGGTGATAAACTAATTTTGGTTTAACATATTAACCAAAACAGATTTTGATATAGTGATATTCAAAAAATTTGTTAATATATTCGGTCACTAAAATTATAGAATAAGCTTGGCAAATAATAAAATAAATATAAATTTCATTGATTAGGTAGCCTAATATTTTTGATTACACAAACAAATCATAGAAAGGTAATAATTTTTTGGCCATTACAAAAAAAATGATTAGGTAGCCTAAGGATTACATAAATATATTTGTCATTACAAAATAATCACTCTGTGTGATCAGTCAAAACATCATTATTTGAAAATGATAATAAATAAAAAAAATTGTTTTCCACTTTCATGATGAGCTAAAATTTAATAAATACATTTATACCAAAAATAAACAAAAAGAATTAGAAAAAAAAAGAAGAATAAGAACAGAAAAAGGAAAAGGAACAAGAAAAATAAAAACATACAACTAACTACTATATACGTTTATTTATATAACTGAAATATAAAAAAAATAAGATGTGCAAAATTATATCATTTTTTCAATTAAATTGCCAAACAGATAAACATAGAATTTGGGTTTGGAAAACAATAATAAAATAATACTAAAAGGAAAAAACATAAAAGATGAAGAAGAAAAAGAACGCAGGAGAGGAGAAGAGCATAGAAATATAAGAAAAAAAAAAGATGAAAGAGAAAAAAACAGTAAAAAAGAACATACATGAAAAAGATGAAGAATAGAGAAGAAGAAGAAGAAGAACGGAAAAAAAATGAAGGAGAAAAGGAACAAAATATAAGAAGGACGTAGAGAAAGAAGAAGAATGCAGAAAAAAAGAATGATGGAGAAGAAGAATGGTGAAAAAGGGGAGGAAGAAGAAAAACAGAGAAGAAAAAGAGGGAGAAGAAGAACGGAGAAGGAGAAGAAAAAATAGGAAGAAGAACGGAAAAAAAAATGAAAAGAAGAAAAATGAAAAAAAAAACAGATAATAGGAAGGGAGAAGGAGAAAGAGAAGAAAAAAAAACTAAATACAATATTAAAAACATAAAATTCATATAAACGAACAACATATTATCATATTTTACAATAACAATTCGCGTGTTTACGATATTAAATTAGTTGCACGTAATTTATATTATGTTATTTTTAAATTTTATATTTTATATTTATAAAATTTAATTTTAATCTTCATAACAAATAAATAAATGATATATTATTAATATAACTATAATTTTTTTTGGTAAAGAGGGGGGGAGGGGCAGGTGATTTTATTCAAAATATAAAAATCAGCTACACACAAACTCTTCTTGGGTGGCAGAACCGATCATATCATCACTCAAAATTGAAACAAAAACTAGGTGGAACCGAATCTAAAAACTGGATACCTAGAAGAAGGAAAAAATCTAGATAGCTAATTCATCAGCAAGACAATTAGTTTTTCTATACACATGTGAAAAACAGATTATTCATTTTCTCAAAATAAAGTCATGATACATACATACCATAAAACTGACTATCTTATAACATAATATATAATAAACCCATTTATACTACATAATTTAAACATTTATAAAATTTACTTCAAAAATTATATAAAGTAAAATCTCTATAAATTAATAATATTGGGACTTAAAATTTTATTAATTTATAGAGTTATTAATTAGTTTATAAATTAATAATTATTAATTAATCGATAAGTTAATAATTATTAATTTATCGATAAATTAATAAAATATTAATTTATCGATAAATTAATATTTTATTAATTTATAGAGATATTATGAGTTTGAATTTTTTAATATCTATCAAAAAAACAAAATCAATATATTCAACAATGTAAAATTCATTCAAAAAATGTCATAATAATTAATTTAGAAGATAAATCAAACAAATTTTATAAACTTGAAACAATAATATTATCATAGTTTACTATATTATATTATTAATATATGTCTAAATATATAATTATTAGTTAATATTACTATTGGGACCATTACATAGAATTTTCAAAAAAAATATTATCATATTATATTATCGAATTTTGTCAATTTTTACACTGATCCGACTTGGGACCGGTAAAAATTATTAATTTATAGTAATTATTAATTTATCGAGTATTAATTTATAGATGTTGAACTGTATCTGCGTGGACACGCATGTCCAAAATCTAGTACATATTTAGAATATCCTTCAGTTTATGGGAATATCCAAATTTTTCATGATTTGATAGTCACATTTAATAATTGTGATACTATAACTGTGATTTTCTGTGTTTTCCTTCTTTAAGCTCGTGATTTTATTGTTCGATTTGTGTGTTGGATTTTTCAAAATTGTTGAATGGTTTTGTTTTATAACGGAGATAATGATAAACCAATTAAGTTAGTATGATTTGAATCCGGGTAAGAGACATTGTAGATTCGAACTGATAAACTGAAAACTCACATAATATGTTTAAGATTTCATTGTTCTAAATAATTTAACCACTTACTTCCATATTGTGGTAGGCTAATATTATTTCATATTTAATTTTCTATACGCAGCTACGTAAATCTTAACTATTATTTGAGAATCATGCTTAATGAAAAATCACATTAGCAAACGGTAGTGTAAATTAATGGTGACATGGAATTGTGACATGGCAAATTTCCTAAAATAAACTGAATGTTTTGTGACAACCAATATATATTTTAAATTTTTAAATAGAAAAAATATAATAGATTATCCAATAAGATAGTATATGCACTATATATTAATAATGTTGGGAGTATGATATATTATTATTTGTATATAATTTTTTAACATTTTTATATTATTGTTTTCTGGAATTTGTATAACTTGCCTTACATTACTATTTCATTTTATCTCTTATCCTTTTTCAAAAAATAAATTAAAAGTTTATATCATAGTCATACTCATATATACAGTCTCATTGTAGATCGAGAATTTGAGATCAGAATTAAAACGCAATGTAACCGGATGAAAAAATAAATTATAAATAAGAAAAAACAAATATAAATAAAAGTATAAGTAAAAAAAACGTCTCTGTAGTTATGTTTTCCGTAACACTTTCAAATTTTGTTTTATAGAGTCCTTTAAAAATATTAAGAAATAAATTTTATAATAAACGCATGTGTGGCTCAAATTTTATAATGAACACATGGGTACAGACCAACCATAAGAAATTTATTTTCTTCATCATCAATATTGGACAATGAGATGAGCAGAGAGCTACCAGAGAATTTTATAAAATATGATTTTACAAATTTTATAACAAATATTTATTATGAATTTTATTTGATATAAAAAACATATGAATAAGAAGTAGAAGTAAAAGTAAAAATAAATTTTTATGATTTTGATTTTCTGTAAAACTCTCAGGCTATGCCTTTGGTTTAAAATACATCTAACCCACATTTCTTTTAAATCTTCTAATTTTGAGGAAAAATAACGATGTTATTTTTTCTTCTATAATTGGAGGAAAAGGTAATAATCTTTCTTTTTCCATTAAAATAGAAATAGGTTGGAGAGAAATCCACCTATATTTTAGAGAAAAAAATAGAAAAATACATTGGAGATGATCTTAATGTTTAATATATTATTCAAAGTTGAGAAACAAATATGAGTCAAAAAAGACAAAAAAGAATAATTTTGATCGATTTTATGTTTTTATTTTGAAATATTTAAAAAATTATCTTACACATATTAATTTTTTCATGCATATATATTTTTTTCAACATCTCAAAATATTATTTCATAAATCACGTTTTGTATATGTTATAAGATTAACACATATATCAAAGTTAGAAACAGAAGAACTCAAGGTAAAATTGTGTTTTATATTATAACTTATGCAGTGGCCGACCTCATTTCATACCGAGCTATTCCTCTTAAAATTCATCAAGTAACGTGTCCTCACTTGCCGAACTAGGGGGGGAGGGGACTTACTGTTGAGATGAAATTCGTACCATCTCTAAATGCCCGACATAAACTCAGCTCGGCCCACTTTGGAAACCCAAAGAATATTCAGGTCGGCCAAATAAATGGAAATCCTCCACTTATCGGACTAAATCCGGTGAAATCGAAAGATTGGCCTTAGCGGCAAGGAAGTTTTCCTATTTCAGATATATGAAGATATCCCCAAAAGACCGACCTGATCGGGTATAAATATAGAAACAGTTAGCTTCTCGAGTCTATCCAAAAATCCTCTCTCGAGACCCAGAGCAAACCAGCAATCATGTTGTTCTTAGTTATCCAGCTCTTTCACTCATTGTTTAGGTCGACGTTCTTATTCCGACGACCTGAACCACCGTGTATCTCTCATGCTCCGGCTAAAATCTTAATAAAGATCCTTCTTTATACCCACCGACTCTTATTCTCTTATTAATTGGCAAGCAAATTGGGTTGTGGTTGGGAGTTATGATGGTTAATTACCTTTTACCCCTTATGTGAAAAGACTTAATTTATCCTTAATAAAATTATTAATTGAATTAAATTGTGCACTATTGATTAAGTTAAACTGTATGATCGGATACAGATTTAATTTAATTATAATCATTGGTTTTTATTGATGAGTTTTTTATTAATAATTTTCTTAGACTAAACCTAATTACTTTTTGCAGCAAAACCCAAACGACAATTAAATCTGTAATTTCCTCATATATATATTACATAATTTAATATCAAACCCTAGATGATATAGTAAATCGGCCACATTCTTCAGCTTAGCCAACACACTTTTTATAGGAGCCATCACAAAGCAGAATAGTTGTTT